CTCACTCTCGAAGTAACTCATAGTAGCAGTAATCTCCTAGGCTAAGGCATCACAAATCAGGCCTCTCTGGTCCTAAATATGAATACCTAGCCTACTCTAGCATGCATAGCATATCTCATAATATCTCATAACACATAATGTAAGGGTATTTTGGGAAATCACCGTTCGGGCGCTGGCTGATCGTACACACTACTCCTTTCCGCTTTTCCTGAAATCTCTTTCTCTTTTTAGAAAAATCGTTTCTTTTTGAAAAAATCTCTCAAATCCTCAATTTGAGTTCAGATACGCCTGAAGGTGTACCCGAATCCCTCAAACTAAGGCTCTGATACCAACTTGTAACGACGTAATTTTTAAAATAATTTTTCATTTTTCAAACACAATAAAACTCACATAATATTTTGAAAATCTCATGTGTATCCAATGTCATCACAATAAAACATACCCCAGAATCTCAAAAACATAATCCTCTGCCAGTGTGTACAAATCATGTCGGCGCCTTCCCGCGATCCTCGGTAGTACCTGAAACACATATCACATAACACGGTAAGCATAAATGCTTAGTGAGTTCTCCAAAATACCACATACAGCACATAAGCCACTCGAGCCTATATAACTCGGTAAGACCCTCTGGTCAATGTGTCTCAGCGGGACCCTCCAGTCCCGTAGCTCGTTGGACCCTCCAGTCCGGTCTAGCTCGTTGGACCCTCTGGTCCGATCTAAATCGTTGGACCCTCCGGTCCGGTCTGAATCATTGGACCCTCCAGTCCGGTCTGAATATCACACAGCATACATAAATCATAATGCACATAATCTCAAGTAAACACGTAACACATAAGACCTTCCGGTCTGCACATAGATACCACTCTAGGTAATGTATAGTGAGAAGACTCACCTCATAAGATGTCTAGTAAACTCTCGTGCTCGATATCCTCGATCTAGCCCCCGCCTAGCACAATGATAATAATTCTAATCAATACTCTCTTTACATCCTCATCTCTAGAGAATGGGTAGAAGACCATTCTACCCCTCCCTGACCCCTCTTAATCAGTTTGACCAAACCCTAAGGTCAACTGAAGTCAACTCCAGTCAACGGTCCAATTTTGACCAAACTTGCCGAGTGCACTCGCGTGACTCGGCGAGTTCATGCGTACCCTCATAATCCTTCTAAGGCCCCTCCCCTTAGGCTCGTCGAGTTAACCTCCCAGCTTGACGGGTTACCACTGGTCACGAATCGCGGGGCAACCCGATCCGACTCGTCGAGTCTTCTCATGGACTCGGCGAGTTTCCTCCATGGAAATACTCATTTGACCTTATGAGGTCAGATCTGTTTCTCTAACTTATAGATCTGGCCTTCTAGCACCCAAAAGTCACGTAAAGGTTCAATCTTTATGTGCATGCACCACACATCAAGCTCTATTTGACAAAATAACCCTTATAATGACAACTTAGACTCAAAACTCTTATGGGACTGCATAAAGTTGGATGATTGGGACTCTCTGGACCTCTCAAGGTCCAGATCTGATGCCTATGCCTCAAGGGACCTCACATACTCCATAACTCGTCTAAAAAGGGGAAAAAGAAACCCTAGATTCATGAGTTCTACTATTCATACGAAAATGGGCATGGATTCATACCTTAAGCAGCAACTTTGAGTGAAATGGTAGAAGATCTGAGCCCCTCAAATCAGCCTTTCATGAATTCCCTCCTTCTTCCTTGCAAGAATGCTCTAAGGTGAAGAAATTAGCTCTCTCTCTCTCTATGCTCTCTGGTTCGAAAGGTGCCTCTCAAGGGTATGTGTGGCCGCAAATGAAGGCCATAAGGACCTTTAAATAGGTCTCAAACCCGGGGATTTAGGGTTTCCACTCCAAGCGCCTACTCAGTGAGTCTACTCCCGGACTCGTCGAGTAGATCATTAAACTCACGTGGCCATCCCGTCCCTACTCGGCGAGTTATAGCACCAACTCGTCGAGTAGATCAATGAACCTCAAAATAATTTCTTAAAACAACATACCTGGGAATCCGGATGTTACAGGAACCCTGCACCCAGGGGTGTTTCCCCCGAATCCCCGTATTCCCGAGTTCACATTTATCACACCGAGTGTGCACCCTGCACCTCCAAGCTCGGTTAGTAAATGGAGCTCGTCCTATCTCATTATTAATTATAATTACACCAAAATATGTTGATAACACTAAAATCACTAACATTCCTCCCCTATTTTAGTATAATACTTAATTAACTAAAGGCAAACACAAAATCAAGCTTATGTATAAATGAAAATATCTTGAAGATTAAATTTCACATTAGTATAATATACATGTCAAATACTCGAGAATCAGGGTGTCCTAAGGATTAAACCCTTCAACTCATTTGAGTAACTGAAGATACTATACACATAAGTTAAACATAATATCTAATGTTTCATACTTGACACTGTTATAACCATGTGTCCAATCCATTCATGAGTGCATAAAAGCCTATCCCAAGCTTTCTGAAGCGATAACACTTCACACTCACATAAGTAGTCATTCTATATCATGCACCTGTTAATGCACTTTTTCAAAAGAACTATTAAGAACTTAATTAACCTACTTTAACAATATAGGTTATAAGCACATATATTGGGATGTAAATCAAAATGTGCTTCAATCTCCATAAGCAAGCTTTCCACTTTGAATTCACCTTCTAACATTGTATTAGAAGGGAATTAGGTATCTCACCCATAGAGATATCAAGTGGACCTTAATCCCATCCCTATAACCGAATTTTTTTACCAAGTTTCAAACTAAACCCTTCATCAAGTGATCAGCTAAGTTTTGTTGAGATCGAACAAACTCAACATAAATGGTATCATGCGTAATGAGCTCACGTACCATGTTGTGCCTAACACCCAAATGTCACGATTTTCCATATACACTTGACTATATGCTTTTGCCAAGGTGACAACACTATCATAGTATATAGAGATAAGTGATATAGGCTTTGGCCACAAAGGAATTTCATAGATCAAATTCCTTAACCATTCTGCTTCTTTTCCTGCAGCTGCAAGGGCTACAAATTTAGATTCCATAGTTGAATTGTGATGCATGTTTGTTTCTTAGAAGCCCATGAAATGACACCTCCACCAAGAAGAAACACCCAACCACTTGTAAAAGAGTGGTCCTTAACATTAGTAATCCAACTAGCATATGAATATACTTTAATAACTGAAGGAAACCCAACATAAGTTAAACCAAAGTCCATGATTTTCTTAAAATACTTCAATACCCTCCTTACTGCTTGCTAGTGGTGAGTACTAGGATTGCTAGTAAACTTACTTAGCTTTCCTACAACAAATGCAATATCAGAGCTTGTGTTGGTCATAACATACATCAAACACCCAATGACTTTTGAATATTCAAGTTGTGAAACTGCTTCACCAGTATTTGGCATAAGTTTCATACTTGGATCAAAATGTATACTCATAGGAGAACAATCAGAACAATTAAGCTTCTTAATCACTTTCTTAATGTAATGAGACTGTCAAATTGAGATTCCTTGATGTTCACGCTTGATTCTTATTCCAAGAATTACTTCTGTTTCCCTCATATCCTTCATGGAGAACTGAGATGATAAAAACTCTTTCGTCATGTCAACTTGCCTTTGATCAGTACCAAAGATTAGCATATCATCTACATACAAGCATACAACCACTCCTTTGCCAGACTCATCAAACTTGCTATATACACACTTGTCTAATTGATTCAACTTGAAAACATGAGACAAGATAACATCATCAAAATTTTGATGCCACTGTTTTGGTGCTTGCTTTAGCCCATGCAATGATTTAACCAACTTCCACACCTTATACTCATTTCCAGGCATAATAAAACCCTCAGGTTGGTTCATATACACCTCTTCCTCTAAATCACCATTTAAGAATGTTGTTTTAACATCCATTTGGTGAATCACCAAATTATGAATTGTTGTTAAGTCAATTAGCAATCTAATGGTAGATATGAGAGCAACCGGTCAGCGAAACCACCGCCAGGGGCAGAGTCCCTTGGACCCCGCTAGGGGGCGTTGCCCCTAGACCCCGCCAAGAGGTTGCAGCCCTTTGGAACCCTACACCCAGGAAGGCTACCCCCGGACCCCCGTATTTCCAAGTTAACATTTATCACACCGAGTGTGCACTCCACACCTCCAAGCTCGGTTAGTAAATGAAGATCGGCCTATCTCATTATTAATAATAATTACACCAAAATATGTTGATAACACTAAAATCACCAACACCTAATTGATTTTATATGATATTATTATGATGATTATTAAGGAGGTGTTTGGTTTTTGAACTTCAAATGTGATTTTGGACAAAAATGTTTATTGGTTTACGGTGGTAGCAAAAGAATTTTTTTAAAAATATTTGAATTAATTTTTATGATGGGAAAAAGATTTATATTTATAAAATAATTAAAAGTGGCATAGAAAGAGAGGATGGGGGAAAACGAGAGTGGTAGTTTAGTTTTTTTTTCAGTTTAAAAAGCCAAAAACATTTAAAAGTTAAGATTTCTTTATTTTTGAAAACCTTCATTTCAAAACATGCCAACAAATCAATTTAAAATATACTTACGCAATAGTTAATTTTTTTTACTTATTAGCTAATAAAATTATTAGTTTTCTGAAAATCTAATAAATAAGTAAAGTAAGATATTTAAAAAAAAAAACAAACCCAAACACACACTAGTAACAAAAATTGGTGTATATAATTATAATTTCCAATAAAAAAAATGAATATTCTTCTATGATTCGAATTGAAAAAAGAAACGATTTTAATTTATTACGGGATAATAGAAGAAGAGAAGGCTTCCCGCTGAACACCGCAACGCAACTAACCGATTTTCAGATTTGTACCACCTCTCACATACTTATACGGAACATTGACACGTGTCATGTACCATGAAGCTGACGTGGAAATCATACGACCTAGGTTCAACACTCTACCACACCACAAATACCCCGATTCGTTTTCTACCGAATGCCACACATATCAATTATCATATGGATTGGGATAAAGTTGAAGGAGGGGACATGATGTGAAGTTTTCATCAACAAAACCACCCGGAATTACACCGTCTCCGGCCATGACCGACGCATTTTAGTCGCCGGAGGGGAGGAGCTAAATCGGATAAATAGAGAAAGCGGATGGGGATGTCCTGGGAAGACGTGGTGTTGATCGAGAGAAGTAAGACTACTGGCGACTCGTCGGTGGTGACGGTGAACTGCCCCGACAAGGCGGGGCTGGGATGTGACCTGTTACGGATTGTACTTGAATTCGGACTCTATGTTACCCGTGGAGGTCAGAATATAAATTTACTTTCTTTCTCCCAAATTGTCGCTGCTAAGATTTAACTTCTTGTTCTGTCAATTTTAGTTAAAATGGATCATTCATATCATGGATGCTTGATTGTGTTGAAATGCTTCCACTTGCTTATGAACAAACTATAATTGGTTTTATGATATTGAATTGTTAAAAATACGCGTTTTGATCATTAGATTTCTCGACTGATGGAAGATGGTGTTACGTAGTCTTATGGGTAGTCCCACGCCCAAGCTCGGTGAGGGTCGACTGGGAAAGCTTAAAAAATCGGCTTTTATCTTGTTGCCCTTCATGTTTACCTACATTTTATCTCAATCACCTCTCTGATTCTGATTCTGATTCTTCCAAATCACCTCCACTCTACCTGTTGAAAGTTTTCTCACTGGATCGAAAAGGGTTGATACATGGTAAAGATCGAATTCACATGATTTCAAAATTAGTCTTTTCATGTTCTGATTTTGACCCAATTAAAACTTTTATTATAGATGTGACGAAAGTCCTGTGTGATCTTGACCTAGCAATTCAGAGAGTTAAAGTGACAACAACCCCAGATGGAAAAGTTCTGGACCTTTTCTTTATTACAGATGGCATGTAAGTCCTCAATCATCGTCGTCGTCGTCTTCTTCTACTTCTTTACAATGATGAATGATTTGAGGTGAAATATCGGTGAATTAATAAATTTCCATGCAGGGAGTTGCTTCACACGAAGATACGACGTGAGGAAACATGTGAACACCTTAGTGCCGTGTTGGGAGGATGCTGTATCACGTGTGAACTTGAGGTAGCCGGAGCAGAGTACGATGTTCAACAAGGACATTCTTGTATTTCAGAAACAGTTGCTGAAGAATTGTTCGGAGGATGTGATGTTGAGGTTGATCCTTCACAATCTGAAGCTAGTATAACAGTCGATAATTTATTGAGCCCAACGCATACATTGCTTCAAATACGGTGTCTTGATCAGAAAGGTCTCGTGTATGACATTTTCAAGATCTCCAAGGACTGCAATATCCGTGTATATACTCTTTCTCTTTACAATTAATTTAACGAATTTAATTAATTGGGATTTTTTTTTACTGAATTGGTTGTTTTTATATAGATTGTGCATGGGAGAATCTGGAGCAGCGATAAAGGGTACAGGAGTTTGGATCTATTTATTCAAAAAGAAGATGGGAAAAAGATTGTGGATAAAGATAGCCAGGCTTTATTATGTTGTAGACTGAAGGAGGAGATGCTGAATCCATTAAGAGTTATTATTACGAATCGTGGGCCTGATACAGAACTTATGGTTGCTAATCCTGTTGAGTTATCTGGGAAGGGAAGGCCTCGGGTTTTTTATGATGCTACGCTTGCATTGAAGACACTCGGGATCTGTGTGTTTTCGGTTAGTAGTTTGAACTTCAATTGTGTACGTAGGTTTTATTCAATTGCTTAAATTTTGTGTATAAAAAATAAAAATAAAAAAATTTGTGTAGGCGGAGATAGGAAGACACTCGAGTTCACGGCGGCAGTGGGAAGTATATAGGTTCCTTTTGGATGAAAGTCGAGGAAGCAGCAATCGAGCTAAACGTGATGTTGTTGTTGACAAAGTCAGAAGAACCCTTATGGGCTGGTGAATGAATCAAGATTCAAGGACGGAATATATATATATATATATATATATATATATATATATATATATATATATATATATATATTAGCATACGAATGAGATGAAAGCTATCGATCTAAACGATTGAGATAATAATTATAATATATGTATAGGAAACTTTGTCTTGGAACACTATTTAGAGAAAATTTTAAAGCTATATGATAATGACTAATGAGAGATATCCTTGATTCTTGAATATGACAACAAGACAGTGCAGCACATGGTCATGCTCCATAATTAATTGTGTAAACACGATTTAGGTAACCTTAATGATTTTTTGGTTATGTCCTTTCATCATCATTATCATTTTTTTGGTTATGGCCTTGCATTATCATTATCATGATCGGCGAGTGTTTGGAAGGCTGGTCATCAAAACGGTCTATAACTCACTAGTTTATACCTGATAGGCATTCAGATGTCACAAATGAAGATTTAAAGCTGCAATGTTTAGTTTTTTTAAAATCTTTTTACATTAAAATTCGGGAACTGTAGCTCATAACAGGCTGCACATACGTTTTCTTTAAGCATGATAACAAAATACTTGCTAATAATAGAACAATGCTTTTATTAATGGCAAAATGCAACTACATTTTTGCCATATCGGTAGCAAGAGTAAAAGAATGTTTCTATTCTCCACAGTTGGCCCTTAAAATTATATATTTTATAAATAAGTTGCAAAGATTAATAACATTTCTTTATTCTTTTTATCAAGGAGTTATTAAGTTGATCTTCAAACTACTTGTCAAATCAATGCCGAGACATAACTTGCCCAATGCCAACCATTAAACACAACTACACAAGTATTTCAAGATACTTGTGTTTAGGTGTTTTAAGTGCTAAAATAACAACCAAATATACAAATGAGTTCCTCTCCTCTAGGCTCTAACTCAGCGGAATAAAAACAACTAATATTCAGATGAGACTGGATACATGAATGAATAGTATTATTGCAAATTAATACCTCCACTTGAAAATTCGATCTCATAAGCAGGTGGTAAAGATGAAACCCAATCTTCAAGCATGAATTGGAAGAAGCCCCAATGTGTTTAACTTCCATACACCAAGCAACATACCTCCTAAATTCAGGGAAATGAATAACAATTTGGGTGCAAGAAGGTCTACTTTGTTATCCTTGAAAGGTTCAAAAACCTTCCCAACTCCTTGAAGAGCACTTAATGGCTGCCAAAGAGCTGAAAACGTAATGCTAATGCTAAACAAATGGACTGTGCTTCCAGACATCCACATCATAAACGCCATCATAAGCAGCTGCTTGAAAGGGGCTTGGGCCTCTTCCCATGCTTTTTGAGACTTCCAGTTTGCTTCAGCATCTTTCTGTTGGCGACTCAGACTGGAATCTTCTTGATCATGAGAACCACGAGTGAAGCCAGGAGGATCTGGAATGTCACGGGAGGAGGGCGTCGATGAATTGTTTGTGAAATCAACTGCCCATTTTCGACCTTTCCCTTTTTCCATCTACATAAAGTTGAAGTGAATTTGATGAGTGGGTGATTAGTGTCATTCTTGTGCGTGTTTGTGTGCATATAACTTAAGTGCACCATTAGTGTTGCTCCATATTTGTAGAAGAGAGTTGTAAAGTTCTAAACCCTAAATTGAAATTGAGTTCGACAAATAAAGTGTAAATCTTGTAACTGAACTAGTTTAATTCGCCTAAAATTCGGCGCATCGTATCATAATCAAATACTTCCCAAAACTACTTAGAATTTCAACCCTCTAAATCACACGTAATTCCCGAATTCGCAATATACTCCACAGTTGTTTTAACTCATAAAACAAGTTACATCTGCGGCTTAGATCTAGAAACCCATTCCAGAAAGCAAAAATATACAGCCGGCTGCTATGTCTAAATCGAATGTTTCTGAGAGAACCTAGAAATTAGTGGTACGATCGACAAAACACTGCTTTCAATCGACGATCAAAACCGACGAAAATTCAAATTAGTTCAAGATAATATATTAATGAGAGGCATTACATTTATCAAAATTTCGAACGTTCAAGTGATAGAAAGAGACGTACCTGCAATAATCGAAGAGAAATATGCGATCATAGAAGATGACTGGGGACGGAGAGGGTGTTTGGGAATGCTTTTACTTTTGCCATTTAACTTTTCTAAAAAATATATAAAGATATTCGGAAGATGTAAAAAAAAAATTCAAAATAATACAAAAAGATGGGTTTTCAAAAGTCAAGAAAATATGACTTTTTGTAACTTTTAGACTTTTAAAACTAAATCAACTCAAAAGTCAAAAAATACTACCCAAACACTTTTTAAAACTCACTTTTGGCTTTTGTTTCCTCAAAAGAACTTTTAGGCTTAAAAAGTAATCCCAAACACCCCCGCAGTGTGCGAGATATATCTTCAAAAAGCCGAGTGTGTCGATCGACTCCAGTAAAAAATTTCCAGCAATGACTAAAGAGACAATTAATTTTGAGGTTTTTTACAGTTTAGTCGTGAAGTCCTTTTTTTGGTCTAAAACAAAGGTTTAAGGTTTATTATTACTATAATCTAATCAATATTGGGTTTTGGTTTAAAAGGTTCTTGATGTATTTATTTTTTGTAGTTTAGGTCACTAAGATTGTGTTTGATCTGCGGCTAAACGAGTCACGTCAGACCGTCAGCCAAACAATTTTGGGTGTCTAACTTGGTAAGAAGACGAGAATTGACTGACTGAGAAAGGGACAAACGTCTTCTAATTGTGCCATTACCCTACAAACGGATACACATACAAGGAACTATGTATCCTATTATATGTATCATATTATATGCATTAGCCGATCATATAATATATACAAACGGATACACCCACATATAAAGAAATACGTTATTTATCCTATTATTTGTATCTAATATATGTATCCTATTATATGTATCCTAATATATGTATCCTATTACATTAAATTTTGTATGCTAATATATGTATCCTATTACATTTTGTATGATAATTTTTATTTGGATCTTTAAATTATTTGTGTATAATTTACATTTTGTATGAATATTTGTATGTTTTTATAATTATTCAGCAACATTGTCCAACATTGTATAAAGCAGGAGGGTAAAATGGTCATTTTTCATCCGTCAGCACATTCAGTCAGATGTACAATCAAACAACATGATTTCTTACTCAGTTGGAATTTATTACCTCAATCAACTCTTTCTCAGTCAGCAACTATCAAACGGGACATAAACTTGTATGTGACCTGTTTATTATACCAACAATATATTTTTTTTATCGGTTTTTACCGGTTACCATGGTTATTGAGTTGGGTTTTTTCTAAAGTTGTTTCTTTACAAATACTTTTGGCAATAGCATGACTTCAAGATCAACACTACCATTGCCTTCTTTCTTGTCCAAATCTACAAAGCCACAACAAACCTCCAACTTCCATAAAAGCCCGAGCTGACAAATTACCGAAATACCCTTTGACTCCAAAACACAAACTGAATACCTGAATTATCCAAATTACATTATCCACCCCCAAATGAGTCTGAATCTCAATTCTTCAAGGGTCCCAAGCCCGCTAACACCCAATCCCTTATCACTAGTCCAAAATAGGAAACAATTCGAAACAGGGCGTTACACGGAATTATAGTAGTGAGGTCCTGGTTTGTCAGTTATTGGATCAATAATTTGTTCTCTATTAGGGGTATGAGTTCTGTTAAGGTTGGGTTCGATGGTAGCATTGGAAGATCGCTATGAGTAAGAGTCAACCTTTTCGGCGAAGCGGGGTTCAAGGGGAATTAGTCGGATCGTCTGGTTTCCAGGAAGGTGGTAAGGAGTGATTTCAAGGATGAAATCTAATTTAAGTAGGAGAGAGTTGTAACACCCTGTTTCGAATCGTTTCATAATTCGAGTTCGTGACCCGATGATCAACTATCATAAGGCTTCGGACCTTGTGGAAAGAGAGGTTTAGAACCATTTGGATGTAGGTAATATATATTATGTGATCCAAGAGTTTGGTTGTGCTTTGGAGCCCAAGGGTATAACGGTAAAAGCGATGTTTCCGAGCTTTTATTAGAATTTAGGATTTAAGATCGGAAGGTTTTAAGGCAAAGTAGAGTTAAAAATATTGTAGAGCTTCTCATTACCTTTCTGTGGATATAAGGATCGTCGAAATCGGAGTTAGAACAAAGAAGTTATGCCCTTCGAAAGTTAGGAGGAATTTGGGCTAAGTCAGGTGTGTTGCGCGTATAGGGAGTACGCCGGGCGTACCAAGCTGGGAAGATCGCGAATTACTTTAGAGTGCGTTGGGCGTACCTGGAGTACGCAGGACATACTCCAGTCAGGTGAAACCCCTAATTTAGGGTCTTGGACCCTATTTAAAGGCCTTAACTCATTTCCAACCCTCCTTATCTTCAGCCTCCATCCCCTCTAACCCTAAATTTGAAACCCTAGCCTCTCTTGTGTGAATTTCAATCCTTGGAGTGGTTTTTGGTGGGGTTTAGAGAAGAATGAGATCTTGTAAGAAGCATGCTTGTGGATCCAAGCTCTAATCATCTTCATCAACTTCCAGGAGGTATAAAACTTCTAACTTGGTGGCTCTATGTGTTAGATCTAGTCTAGGAATTGTTTTGGGTTTATTATGGTCCCTAGTGTAACATCCCAAATTTCGAGACCAAAAATTTCATTTTTAATTAAGTAATTATGTAAAATCATTTATCAAACATTGCAAATATTATATTAATTCATAAAACCATTATGTCGTGTCTCAAAAACATATCATCGGATAATAATAATAATAATAATAATAATAATAATAATAATAATAATAATAATCATAATAATAATCAGAGTACAATCCCAGAAACTCAATGCAGAAATCATGTGTGAGTGTGATGTGCCGCTACCGCGTCGGCTCTTTCCCCTTCACTGAAGAGGTACCTGAAACAAAACTGAAACTGTAAGCACGAAGCTTAGTGAGTTCCCCCATCATACCACATACCATACAATAACATACTGTCAGACAATTCTGGAGTGCCTGACTACCCAGATCAAGCCATTCTGGGGTGCTTGAATTACCCAGGTCAAGCCATTCTGGGGTGCTTGACTTACCCAGGTCAAGCCATTATGGGGTGCTTGACTTACCCGTTGGTCTATTTCGCCCGACTACCGGGGACTATTTCACCCCCTACCGCTACCACGTAATAATATAACACATATACTGTCAGGCAATTCTGGGGTGCCTGACTGCCCAGGTCAAGCCGTTCTGGGGTGCTTGACTTACCCGTCGGTCCTTACGACCGACACCCGAGGACTATTTCACCTTCTACCACTACCATATAATATCATAGCATACTGTCAGGCAATTATGGGGCGCCCGACCTACCCTTCGGTCCTAACGACCGAACTTGGGGACTATTCTCCCCCCTACTACCACTATCACATATAACATACCATGTTAGCACATAAACATATCAGGTAGTAGCAAACCTAAATGAATATCACAGAGACAGTCATCTAACATACAATTCCTACTGGTGGACCGGCATTGTGGCCGTAGACCCACCGCTACTGGAAGGTAACTCACCTCTATGCCGCGTAGTGTCTGCACTGATCTCGATGTGGAAATCGACTCTCCCCGACTCCTCAATCCCTACACGACAACTCTTCCAAGTTATCAACTCATACTCATACTCGCAACCCTTACAAGGGTCAACCCAAACCCAATCAATGTCCAAGTCAATTCCATGGTCAAAGTCAACTTTGGTCAAAGTCAACATCCGGTTGACTCGACATAACCACAAAATGTCATAAACCCGCCCCTACCCGTCGAGTCTAGCAAGAGCTCGACGAGTTCGCCTTCAACAACACATCGGACAATCTTCAAACGACTCGCCGAGTTCGTTCTCGCCGAGTTCATCTTCATTCATAAGAAGATGCTCAGTCTATGACTCGCCGAGTTCCTCCTGAACTCGCCGAGTCCGTCTTCATAAGTTGGGAGATTGTTTTGGACTCGCCGAGTCTGATCATACACTCGTCGAGTCCCATGAGTTCCAGGTCCAAAACAAACCGCTATTAGGTTGAGTGTTCCTTCCACTCAACCAAAACCATTTCCAGGAGACATTTTGGGGGAAAAAGTGTCCCGACTGGTCGAGTCACCTAAGTGACTCGCCGAGTCCCTCTTTGTCCAAAACTACACAGTCGATTTCAGTGGGACTTAATGCATCCCAATCATAGATTTGGCCTCCTAGGGTCCCTTTTATACGTAAAGCTACGAACTTGATGTCCATGCATGGGGTTTTTGGCTCAAAAGGCTATAGAATGGGGTTTATATGACGCATGGGTCTCCCATGGCCATAAAGTTGGCACATTTATGCCATGGGAACCCTCAATGGTTCCGGATCTGAAGCACAACCCACATATACAAGCAAAACTGAACATAGCTCCTCAAAAGCTTAGAAAAGGCGGAGAAATAGCCCCAAAACAAGATCTAGGAAATAGATGGTCAAGGTTCAAGCTTTTTACCTTGAATGGACTGAGAATGAAGCAAAACCTTGGGATATACTAGCTTCCTCTTGATCTCCTAAGCTCTCTTCTTCTCCTTCAACTTCAAACACACACACAAAAGGCACCAAAAGAGCTCAAATCACTCAAAAATGGTTTAGGGTTTCAATCTAGGGTTTCTCTGAGTTGGGAGGGTGATGGAGGCTGGGTTGGGACGAGATAAAGTGTTTAAATAGGGTGCAAACCCTAAACATTAGGGTTTTGTCCAGACAGCTCCTACTCGTCGAGTCGGTCTTCCGACTCGTCAAGTAGGTCACTTAAACCCCCGATCCAACAGTCGAGTCTACTCGACGAGTTGGGCCTCCAACTTGCCGAGTCCCAGAGTAAATTGTAACATTTCAAAGAAATTTAAAAACGTACCAGGAATCGGGTGCTACACCTAGAGTCATTCTTGTGAGTATGAGCTACTCCGAGAGCTTAAAACGTTAGATCTTAGTATTTCTGAGGTTGTTGGTGCGTAAAAAATGTCATATTGATGGGTTTTGATGAATCGTGCTAGAATTGGTGTTCATATTATGGGTTTAGATGGATAAAAACGGGTTTTAGGTCCTATTAAGACATGTAAAGGAATTAAGTTGTCAACTTTATGGATTAACA